ACATATGGTAGATATGCGGGTTTTAGTGTTCGTAAGGATGACCTAAAGCATGACAAGAATAACATGCCAATTTCAAGACGGTGGGTTTGTTCCAGAAAAGGGTATCGGTCGGCAAAGAATGCAGAACGCGTAGAGCGATCAAGGGAATCTCGAGGGTTAACACGACTTGGATGCAAGACAACATTTCGAGTGAAGTTTGATAGGAAGACACCAAAATGGGTTGTAAGAGAGTTTGTAATGGACCACAACCATGAATTGGTTTCACAACGTGGTGTTCCATTTCTCCGATCACACAGGCGTGTCAAGAGCCCCAACAGAGCACAAGCTATATCATTGCATAATGTTGGTATGCGTACAAGTCATATTAGAGATTTCATGTTGCAACAATCTAGAGGATATCAAAATGTTGGGTTTACCACAAAGGATCTCTACAATGACATGACATCCTACCATAGAGAAGAGTTTGAGAGACGGTGATGCAGAGGGCGCATTAGCCTACTTGAGCGCGAAGGAAGAGTTGGACCCGCAATTCTATTTCAAGAATTCTGTCACCGATGACAATTCGTTGAATTGCTTGTTTTGGGCTGATTTGACATCTCGACTAGATTACAAGTGCTTTGGTGAGGTGGTGACGTTTGATACTACATATCGAATGAATGCCTATAAGAAGCCATTTGTGATATTTGTCAGTGTCAACCACCACAACACTACAACTATCTTTGGGTGCGCATTACTTTCAGATGAGACGATTGATACATATGTGTGGGTATTGAATACCTTTCTTCATGCAATGGAAAACAAGATGCTTGTATCTGTTATTATGGATGGAGATAAAGCAATGGCTGATGCAATTGAAAGAGTATTTCCTCAAGCGACGCATCGCTTATGTAGATGGCATTTGTCAAGAAATGCCTTCACAAATATATATGCTGAAAATTTTGTCAATGCATTTCAGAGGTGCATGTGTGCTCGATTCACTCCGGAAGAATTTGAAAATGAGTGGAAATCAATGGTCGAATCATTTGGACTGGAGAGAAAAAATTGGATAGCGAAAGTTTATGCAAAGCGATTCAAATGGTCCGAAGCGTACTTGCGAGGAAATTTTTTGTCGGCTTAAAAAGCACGCAATGATCGGAGAGTATGAATGCCTACCTAAAACGCTTTCTAAAAATAAGTCAACAATTATTCGAGTTTGTTAGGCATTATGATAGGGGCTTGGCAAGGATCAGGGAGTGTGAGGCCAATGATGACTTTGAGTCGGAACATTCGAGGCCAGTGATGCAACCTGCACTAAGATGCTTAGAGGAGCATGCTACTGCTCTATATACCAGAAAGATTTTCTTCAAGGTCCGTGAAAAGATACGAGAAAAAGCGGTATTTTTTGTAGTGGATAAGATCGAGATTGAAAGTCATCGGAGTTACTATTTGTCTCGATTCACAAAACCAGAATCACAGTGGATTGTGCGATATTATCCTCAAATTGATGCGTTTAAATGCAATTGCATGAAATTTGAGTCTTTTGGGATTTCATGCCCTCACATGATCGCGGTCATGAAGTATGAGCACATACAAGAGTTTCCTTATACCATTGTGATGGACAGGTGGATCATTAAAGCAAAATCTAGGTATAAATGTGCACATGAATGTGGTAACGTGCAGCCGAATGTGTCAATTCCTACGCGTTATGCTGGACTTATGTCAATGTGCAGCCAAATGTGTTATTACGGTTCACATTCGCTCTCGGACTCAAATGACCTGAGGAGTATGGTGCAACAAAGAACTTCTCTTCTAAAAGTTCGTCATGAGTCACTTGGCAAACACGATGCAAATGTGACGATTACACAATTCTGTATGAATGATCCAAAGATTGTGAAAACCAAAGGTAACCATAGTCGCGCACAAAAGAATATTCCAATCAACCCGCGAAGGTGTAGTAAATGCAGGGGCACTGGCCATACTGTTAGAAAATGTCCACTATTGACGTCTCAATCCAATGATCCATTCGAGGATATGGCCATTTCACAACCAATTGGATCACAGCCACCATAGGACATTCCTTTTTCACAACATAGTGGATCAGACCAACCACCCCACATGTCTTTTTCACAACATGGTGGATCGCAACAATATATGCCATCATTGAAAGAGGATGACCGTTGCATTCCTTTTGTCAACGAGGGTATCCTCAACTATAAGTTCATATAATACTCTTTGGATGTTTATATATTTTTTTTCATATGTACTCATTCCTTGTTATTTTAAGATGGGATATCAAGCTTTGATTCTACCATTCAATCACAGTACATCAACACTAGTTTCAATGGAGGTAATTACAAAAATTACAAATTTTATCTCACAAATTTTGTTTTTCCACCATTGTCATCTAACCATCAATTTATGCTATCATAGTGGGCACCAAGATCATGGAGCTAGATGGGTTGAAGAAATTTTAATTTTTTTGCAACTTTGAATGAAAAGGTTTGATTTACATTCTCCATTCCAAGTTTTTTTTTTCGCTTTTTTGGACGAAGAAGAGGGCAGGAAAAACATATTATGAGTTGAGTATTGCTTGTTAAAACATATTTCCCTCTTCGCTTTTTTGTTGCTTTGGTGAGTATTGCTTGTTAATTTTTACTATTATGAGTTATTATAACAGTCTAAACCATAGCCATGATTTTTCATGCCCCAATGCCGAACGAAATATGTTTTATTGTGCATTCCCACAACTTTTTAGTTGTAACATTATCACTTTTATTTGGTAAGATTACCAATTATTTGAGGTAAGATTACCTCTTTTGAGGGAAAGATTATCATTGTTTTGGTTAACATTATCATTTTTATTAAGAGTACCATTTTTTTTTTTGTTAATATTTCTATTTTTTTGGTTAAGAGTACCACTTTTTTTTGTTAATGTTACCATTTTTCTGGTTAACATTACCACTGATTAAGAGTATCATTTTTTTATTTAACATTACCACTATTTTGGTTAAAAGTACCACTTTTTTTGTTAATATTATCATTTTTTTAGTTAAGAATACCACTTTTTTAGTTAACATTACCATTAGTTAAAAGTACCATTTTTTTGTTAACATTACCTCTGTTTTGGTTAAGAGTATCACTTTTATTGATAACATTACCATTTTTTTGGTTAAGAGTATAACTTTTTTGATTAACATTACCACTGTTTAAGTTAAGATTACAACCTTTTTGGTTTTCATTACCACTATTTTGTTTAACATTACCATTTATTAGGTTAAGTGTATCACTATTTTTTGGTTAAGAGTACCACTTTTTTGGTTAAGAGTACCACTGTTTTGGTTAACATTACCATTGATTAGGTTAGCACTACCACTTTTTTGGTTAATATTGTTTTGGTTAGCATTACCATGGATTTTTTGTTGAGAGTACCACTTTTTTGGTTAACATTACCACTTTTTGGGGTGGTTAAGATTACAACATTTTTGTGTGTAACATTATCACTTGTATTTGATAAGAATACCACCTTTTTCTATAAGATTACCCATTATTTGAAGCAAGATTATCACTTTTTTGGGTAATATCATCATTTTTTAGGGAGGATTACCACTTTTGAGGAACATATTACTACAGACACTGTTTTTACCAAAATAAAAAAGTAACTGTTTATAGAAAACAAAACCAAAAATAACTGTTACAAAAAAATAGATTTTCTGTTTTTGTAACGGATTTTCTGTTGCAAATTCTGAGACAAAAACCAGATAAAACTGGTACATTTTCCTGAACCAGCTGAAAATACGCCAAGTAGTAACTCTTCAGCTTCCACCCTCCAAATCCAGCAGGATATTGACAGCTCAGAATCAGCCCACACCACAGCTTTGCAGCATCAGAGGCTCTGCAAAAACAGCTCAACACTCCAAGACCAGCCCAGCAATCAGCAACGCTAGCTCAGTAACTCAACAGCTCCAGGATACTAAGCCCAATAGCAATAGCTCAACAGCAACAGGATACCAACTCCAGTTCACTGCATACAACACCCTAGCAAACACTTATTCAACCTTTATCATCAAATACCATAGAAGTCTTAGTGCACAAAATACGAAGACCTCGTTGATCCTGCAGCCTCTGCCTGACAACACTGGAAGCTGGCCACTTATAGAAAATTCAATAAACTGTATAATTCATGATCCAAAGTAAACTGTATTCTCAGCCTGAAACTGTATAATCAGCTTGAAAATTCATTAAATTGGAAAATCAGCTTCTCTATCAACATGATCCAAAGTAAACTGTAATTTGCTCACCAAAAATTGAATTTGTTCCAAAAGACACAACAAATGTCAAGCACAACCCATAAAGCCCTCAACAGTCCTGACTAAAAAAAAATTACATAATTCCAAACAAGAACATTAATGACAATTTGTTCCTTGTTTCAGTCTCACTGCTAGACACCATGGTGACAACACCAAGCACCAGAAATAAACTATAATGAGAAGATCAACCTCGGCGTTTAAAATTGAATTCTTTACATGATCCTTTAAAAGACTGGACCGTTCTTTGTCTCTCTCAATACTCCTCAAATCCACCATAATCCGCAAAACAAAAGGGTTGAAAATAATAACACGGGTATTATATACAACAAAGGAAACAATACGGCACAATCACATTAATTCCTTGTACATTGTAGGATATTTCCTCATCATCACAAAGTGAAAAATAGATAATATTATCACCACCTTTCACTGAATAATAAGAAATGTCTTTAGTGAATAATGCACAAAAACTGAGAGAGAGAGAGAGAGAGAGATGAAAATCCGTATGCATATATTTGGTTCATCATATTTCACTACTGCTACTTCAACTATTGTATCAACAACCAACAACTACAATTACATATAATTCTCACTGCCTAGCTATTTCTTTGCTTTCTATAAAAAAAGACTCAATTCTATCCCACCTACTATCTATTTTATCCAACCTACTATCAATTTTATCCAACCTACTATCAATCACCTTGAGAGACTCCTTTATTTCATTTTGAGCANTCTATCCCACCTACTATCTATTTTATCCAACCTACTATCAATCACCTTGAGAGACTCCTTTAATGCATTTTGAGTATTTCCAAATTCCTCCATCATTCTTCCCATTCGTATCATCACAGATGCATATATAGACAATCGTTCATCCAATGAAGGAAGACCACTTGTGGAAGAATTTGGGACAGTTTGGGCTGCAATATTATCCTCAGGTGCAACTTCATTCTGGATTTCAACTTGTGGCTGTTGTGGNGAGACAGCTTGGGCTGCAATATTATCCTCAGGTGCAGCTTCATTCTGGATTTCAACTTGTGGCTGAGTTTTCTTATTCTTCTCTTTCCCCAAACTCTGTTGTGGCTGAGTTTTCTTATTCTTCCCTTGTCCCAAACTCTTTTTTATTGTCCCACCATTAATTGGATTCATGGGAGTAGAATAAGCATCGCTTGAGTGACAACTCCACAATCCTCCATAATCTTTGAAATTAAANCAATTAATTAGATTCATGGAGTAGAATAAGCATCACTTGAGTGAATCACAACTCCACAATCCTCCATAATCTTTGAAATCAAAATTGAAAATGAGAGACATTTCCGACTATCATTCGTACCGTGTGCTGAAATAATTTCATTAATTATTAAACAAGGTAGATCTATACTCATACCCGTTCCAATGGCATACAGGAGATAAGCTCGATCAAGTCCAAAATCAGCATTATGTGCAATTGGACGAATATTGTACNCATGTGCTGAAATAATTTCATCAATTATCAAACAAGGTAGATCTATACTCATACCCGTTCCAATGGCATACAGGAGATAAGCTCGATCAAGTCCAAAATCAGCATTATGTGCAATTGGACGAATATTGTACCCCACTATAAGGTTTAAAATCCTATATTTAGGAGTCAGGTGTTGCT